TGATGATGATTGATGATTGATGATGATTGATGATGATTGATAATAGAATAGATATCCCTTTTAAAGAGACGATGAACCAATTTCCAAGAGGAAAACATACTACTTGTACGCCTCCCCATCAGTAGTGTCACCGTTACACTAATAGCTGCACAAACAGTAATTGCGCTATAACAGATGAATTGATGGTGTTGGTACTCAAGGCGCAGGCAGTGTTCGTCAACTTGCGTCATTCGTGGCTTCAGAAACCAACCTCGGTGAAGCTGCAAGGTTGTTATTTCAAGGCAACTGTAAGAGCAGTCCTACTTCTGGTTGCGGGACTTGACCACTCTGATGAGGGATTTCAGGGCTCTTCACACTCTGGGTCGGCACTGTCTCTGTAGCATAGCAGGAGTTCCGAACACTGTTTCTCGTCGTGGTCAGCAGCTCAGATTGGAACCAGGAAAGACATACCAGCAACGAACGACTGTAATAGCGCGCGCATACCCCTAAAACGCCGATTAATGATGAGCCTTAGGATTGACAGTGCGCTGGTAGATAGGAAAAGTCCTCGATATGGAGAGCTGCTATAAGAAAAGACAATCACACCCTGTTCCAGCTAATCCGATCAACTGGTCCGACGAGGATGGGTGTCAGTGAGATGATCTGCAGAGAGAATGGGACCTCAATCCATCCACAGAAACATCGTCTTGAACGCTGGGCCTCATCAACTCACCATCTAGAAGGACTAACTGAACCCTATTCGGACGTAGGCACCAGTCCACCGTAGTCGACGGATGTCCGGGGTCCTATTTCACCGCTTCAGCGCAATAGTGCACCTATACCAGACGGTTTTCACCCTGCATGCTCCAAAGAAAGTGTTTCATCATCAACATGGACAGCACAATACTGACGCTTCGCTGGTGCACAAACATGTTTTTTGAAAGCCTTATTGTGAGGAAATGAAGCGGAAGGTACTGGTTGCTACCTTACTACAATTATTCCGATGTGCATACACCTCCAGACACTTGTTCAGATAACCTGGACGGAAACTGACAACATGAACACCATTGATATCGACTAGCAGCTACACCGTGCAGCATCTCCAATCAGGCGCACTGGGGATCCTGCGGTCCCCATCCTGAAAGGCGAGTAGCAACGACGGCACCCAAACGTTCCATAATCTCTTCCACACCCCTCTGCCAGGTCAGGGATTGGCCACTCTGAATTGGGCACGGAAAACAGCACCCTGTTCTGCCAACGACGGTTCGGCATACGCAACACATGGCCTTACCAACGCAGCTACTGGTGCTGGACACACTTCAAAACTTCAGAGCTAGTACAACTTCCATGGTAAGTAAAATGTCCCACAACTCTGAGTGCCTCCCCTGAATTGCAAGTGGCGTGTTCAGTGACTGCATGTTCGCAAGCATGACCTTACACCTTATCGGTGCAAAATGCATACCAAAGGAAGGAACAACTTTGGTCACTTCATCCAAAAACACTTGCGCCTTCTTGTCGAAATAATGTGGTTAGTCCCTCTTGGCTATCCTGACGAATTTACTAAAATAAAAAATAAATCGTTCAGCTGTAGCGCCCTTTCGGTGCCTAGCTGCCATGCCACCCGAAGGAAGCACGAGGGCTGGGATACTGTCAGGTTGCCCAAGCCTAGACAGGGGAAGTCGAGTGGCGGAGGTCGGGTTCGAACCACGGACCTTCCGGTCAGTAAATTCGCGCTCTAACCACTTGAGCCATCTCGCCCCCCGAATTTACTACTGAGGAAAGAATACCGATAGAATGGAGCTCCTTGACGTGATTCCCATATTTAAAAAGGGTTAAGAGACATTCCGAGAATCATCGGGGCATCAGTCTAGCGGCTGTGGCTTGCAAAATAATCTCTGGTGGTGTCCTACGAAGGTTGATCCGTCGTCGGGAGAGCCATTCACGAAGCCACGAATTGGTTGCATTGACTATATCTTACTGCTGGAACTGTGCCACTAATTCTGATTGTTGCGAGAGTCGAGTAGTTCCAGGACGAGATTAGAGAGGAGACAGAATAGAAAGACGTAATGTACGCTTTAATCGTCTAATACCGGTAGTACATGAGCTGAAAATATAGAGTGAGAACTATGAGCTAATGGGTTATGCAAAGGTATGGTTTATATAGTCATGACACTGATGACCAGCAATGGTCGTCTTTCTTGATTCCATCGATAGCGGGGAACTGTGACAGTGATGATGAAGGGTGTCCCTTCTGAATTCTGGTCATTTGTAAGGGCTTTATATGCTTCCTCCGATGAGCGGGTTAGTGTTTACCAAACAAGGTGCATTTTTATTTCAAACCTTTGCTGGTGGAAGACTATAACAGCTTAGACCATGGCGTCTCCACATAAAACGATAACGACCACAATTTGAAGACATTTTTGAACTTACCCTTCAACAACAATAAACTGTTTTTACGTATGCATTATCAATTTAAATCGGTATCTGTTGCTGGAGAAAACAACGCCGAGGTTACGCCAGTTTGAAACCCTGAACAGTTTTCTCTATCTTAACCATTCACTTTTCTGTTCCTTTTGTTCCAGTTAGTCTGCGAGAGTTAATTTGGTAATCCGGAACTATTGATATAGTGGTTTCTCCGACTATTTTCAGGCAATAAACATGACCCTACCCGGGCGAAACTTTTTGACAGGAGTTGCTCGAACCTTTCACTCTTCAAGGCTTGTTTGTAAAAATACTCGAGTTGGTGTCGTTCGGCGCACACGAAATCAGTCTATTCCGCTCACATATGAACAGGCCAAAAAGCCACATCAGATTGGTTTGATGAAATCTTGGAATTCCTGGAATACTTCTAACTTAGAGAATGAGTCCCTCTACACACCAGACATCACTGTCCAGGATGAGCTCATCCGCGCGTTTATTCGTGGGACTTTCCCAGTGGCCGTTGAAAGCGAGGTAGGTCATTTCAAAGATGGCTTGAAACCCCAAATGTCTGAAAATTCTTTGGTGCCCCGCTTTTGCATCCATTTAGTAGTATGCCCATAGGGTATGTTGGAATGATATATCTGAGCATCAATAGTATGACCTTTTACCAAGCATTTTATCACTATAAAACTGCATTTTTCTTGAATGTGTTGATAAAATACCTGAAATCATCTGGAGAGGATCTTAACGTGTCCGGGTAGCAACTAAAAGTGCATCAGTCCGAAGTTGAAATTCCTTATAGAGGTTTTGTGTTTCCTTCTGGACACCCCTCGATTTACTATCAGAGGACTAGGGGACTCAACCCGCAATGATGAAATGAAAGACTGGAGCGCCTGGTGAAATTTTGTGCAAACCAGAATTACCATGTTGACTGAGGGATATCGTAACATTTGACGAATGATAGAGTGCAAGGAGAGGCCAAGAAATTTCAATGGGGCGATTGTTATACCGATAAAGAAGTACACATGAAAAATTGAATTGAATGTTCAGGGGACTGGTTGCGTGCACCTGATGGTTGACCAGCTGAAAAAGGTAAATGGTTTGTAGAGAGAGTTTGCATCGTTTTAAAATGTATGAGTGTTGAAGGCATGTCACTGAACACAGATAAGCCTGGGTTAATAAACAGACAAATCCCGAGCAGTTCAAGGCGACTAGAGCTTGATGCCCCTTGAAGTGAATTTTCAGTAACTGTAGCAACTCATTCCAATCTTGTTGAACGTCTTCGTTGACTTGGCGGACCTCATGCGATTCTAACAGAGCAAACTAAGTCTACAAATAGGCTTCGAGAAAACCGCTGTGCAGTCTTATGGGAGTTACTTAATTAGGGCACGTCCCGGACTCAGGTTTACATGGGCCCGGAAAAATAAGCGTGTTTTTGCATGCAAGTTATATGCCGTATGAAAGGGGCGATTCTTATCACCACGGGTAGGTGGAAAAGTGAATTAAACCCGTTCAGCTTTTGGAGAAACAGAGAGTGATTCGCCCCACCAAGGAGGTTCAGAATACCTCCTGTCCTGGACTCTTAATTCTTCGAAATAAACATTTGTACAGCAGGAGGCGAGATGGCTCAGGTGGTTAGAGTGCGAAGTTACTGATCAGAAGATCCGTGGTTCGAACCCGACCCCTGCCTCTTGACTTCCCCTGTGTAGGTTTGGGTAACCTGGCAGTATCCCAGCCCTCGTGCTTCCCCGGGGTGGCATGGCAGCCAGGCACCGAAAGGGATTACAGCTGAATAATATTTTTTGTGCAGCGGCCAATAGAGCACAACTTTCAACAGTGTTCATTGTGTCCTTTTAATGCAACTACAAATTTTCTTTCTTCATTTGGGTTCGACTCAGTGTTTTTTTCTATCCGAAGAAGGTTGTTAAATCCAAACTGAAGTACCATAGTTATAGATGGACGAGCATTGAGCTTTCAGTTGTGCTATCCCTTTAGTGATACTTATCGTGTTACCAGTAGAAATAGAAATGCTACTGGATCGTGCAGATCTGAATGGAATGAAAAATACGCCGAACAAGTTTCTTTTAGCTAGTTGGACTCGAGTAGCTGTAATAGATGTCCGTTCGCTCTACTCTCAACAGAGCGTTCTTACTGTCCTTATTCAGTACCATCCTAATGGTGCCATGGAAATCCAATGTTTTCAGTTTTAAAGTATAAAACACAGAGATTAAAGTTTCCTAATTCAGCTCGAAACGCGTACAAACACAGCATGCTGTCTCGTTTTTGTGTATGGGGTTATGCAACACACCACATCTTTTTCTGGTTAGAGTGCTGCCAATTTAGGTTCATCGATCTACCCACAAAGCAAGACAGTCAGTGCTCATTTACTTAGAGCCGTTAAATCTGACTCGAGAAACACGTGTTTGCTTTTTACGCTGCAGTAGGCTGTAAACGATAAATGTGATGTTGAATGAAGTGGTTAGTTGCATCGAACTTCTTCGCCCGTGTCAGTAGGAAGAAGGATTTTCTCTAGACACAATACCCTTTTCTGAGAAGTGGTCGTGACGTATGGAGTCTGCTTTCATGACTAAATTCTTTGACTCAGTGATCTGGCATACCAGCCAACCGATATGAAGACCCTCTCCTGGACAGCATCTGCCACTGTTTCAAATGCTAGGTTTTCTCTTTTTTGGGCCTATCTAACTAGATGCTGTGGGGGAGGAGGGGGTTGAAGTACACAATCATCAAGTAGATCAGACCTTTATCTAACTTTGCTGCCTGTCAGTGTGACTGTTTGTGAGGGTTCATCAAGTACTGCTCTCTATTACAACTTCGACCGAAACCAAGCGATTTCGTTTGTACTAGTAGTGGGAAGTATGATCATCTTGATGAGATTGAGTATGAAACTGCACGGTCGCATTAAAGATGAAGTCACTACTGGGGGGTCACTAGGGAAACAAAGTACTGTAGTGTTGGGGCTTGTATCGGGCTTCCATGGCATTGTTTGCTTGACACGAACTTATCACAACTGGCCCTTGTGACTACCTCGTGTTCTACATAGTTTGGTTAAAGTGAGTGATGAATCAGTTCAGTTTATCAGCTACAAACCGTGCGCCATAGGCACATTGGTTCCAGCTGCTACAGTTTCGATCACCGGAAAGTGGGAGAGTGCGAGAGATATGGCCAAGCCTACGAGGCGATTGCGTGTTTGTTTATTTCAGGTATTGGGTAGCTAAGCATTAAAGGCGATAGCTTTGGCTGGAACGATTGAGCCATTTCTGCCAGTATCGCTAGCCATTGGTGAGTTGAGTCCCGGGGTCCCCATCCATGGAGACGACAGTTGTCTACTCGACTAAGTGAAGAGTCCTGTGATAGTCTCGTGAAATGAAAGGGGTCGTCTTACACCATTTCTGTCCTTTTAGAACCCTATTTTGACCTTAAACGATCACATAAAACTTTTTGTAATCGGATTATGCAGGACTTGTTTATTTTGTTTACGGGGAAAGTTATGGTGCCACAAATATACGAAGCTGTCAGTTGCCTGAACCAATCAAACCACGTGTCAACTTCCTTAGAATAGTGTGATTCTACTTCCAGCCTGTCAGGCAACTCGAACTTGTAATGCAAGGACCCTCAATCCCTTGACTGCTTATATCACACTTCTGATGGAGGTTTAAACTCAAGCAACAGGCCTTCCAAGCCATATACCTCCAGATATTGTCTCAGATCTGACCATGACGACATGGTGACATGGTGACATGGTCTAATAGTAAGAAGATCTTGACCCTACAACCCTGCCCTTAACGGTGTGTATGTGTGTGTGTGTGTGTGTGTGTGTGTGTGTGAACAGTACCATCCAATGCACATTTCGACCGTGCTCATCGAGCAAGGAGTTAATTTTGACTCGGAATGCTGGGTTTGATACGAGATTTTCGACCGAAACCAACTGCAGGCTATATTTGATTGAAATGAGGTCGCTGGTTGATCACTCGTGGATGCGACAACACCTGTAGCCTCTTACTTTTCAGTAGAAAGTTTGGTGAATTCGTACCGCAAATCTCGCCTTGTTGTCACCGCTTTTGCCCCAATTCTCTTTCACTTTCCCTGCTCCCATTCATCACCTAAATATTGGCCCTGTTGTGTAAATCTCACTAGTGCGAATGTTCCGGTCTTTTATAGTTATCTTAATTTCTTGTTTGCCTCTTTCAGGTTATAATTAAGCGGCAGTGGAACGTCGTTCGTATCGCCTTCCTTTTATCCAGTCGCGTTCAGCCCATTGAAGCTCATTTTCTGATTGGCTACTCTGAGGAAATGCTGTCGCATCTGCTCAGATGCATGGTCAAACTGGAAGTTCAAGTGATCGCATCCAAGAAGGATGTTGTATTTCGGTACATTTGAAAACACAGAAATGATTGTTCGCCTTAGTTGTAAATATACATTTCATCACTTCAATCCGAAACCAGTTTTACTGGTTTTTACCTCCTTGTGGCTGTTACTCCAAGTTAGTTTAAATAGGATATCAACAGACACGCCAACCTGGTTAGTGGAAGTACCGTCGTGAAACCGCTGTCCAGTACTCCTCGGATTGTCAGCACATATTGGCTTCAATTACAGGACGTAGATTACTAGCTGAAAATTGTTGACCCGAAAGATACCAGTAATCCTTGCAAAGGGGTTTGGTCTCATTTATATTTTTCTGTGGTTGTCATCGATGATTCAGTGGCATCCATTTTTTCCGATTGCTGTTGACTTGTTTCTTTGCTGCGCATCACTAGGAGATAGGGTTGAGGGAATTTCGGGGAATGCACCTACCTGATGAGCACCAAGAAGTCGTGAGCTGTCCAGCAGTTTTCAGCAACGTTTACAGTGTTGAGTCCCGTCAAGAAAACATTGTGGCTGACCTCTACTGGACGATAAACAGCTGCATGACTCTCACCAATTACAGCTGTTCGTGGCCGACGATCTGGCGATCAGATTTTGTTGTCGCCGTAAACGGACTGGTGGCCAACGTGATCACCGTTCGATCTGACGGTGGACAACCAGGTCTTTAGTTGCCACTTTCGGCGGGAGCGCCAACTTGGGCTCGGGCTTGAGTTGAAAATCCTCGGATGCTGATCATCTGATTTTTGAAGCATATATCCGAACCACTACAGAACATGTTGTCGGATACGTGCAGCTACTTTTGATGTACCATGAATATGCTGTCAATCTGATACACTCATTTCATAGTAACTCAGTTTTCACGGGAGACTCACTTGAATCCCAGCTGATTCTCTTGTTTATGATATTCTGTAGCTTGAATTCATTTGAGCTCCGCGAAAACCAAAATGGTATGTAGATGAGTGTAGTTACCGGATTTCGTGCAATTTGGGCTCAAGGAGAACGTAAGATTGAGGAAAGCCTGGGTACTGCGCCTACTCAACTACCTGGTGAGCCTCAAGAAGGGCGGAACCGGCCTTGGGTTGTCGAAGAATTTTCAGAAACCCTATGAATAGTTTCCTTCCTGCTGTCAGTCTGTCTCTTTGAAGAATTAGTCGACTTGTCTTGTTTCAGGAATTATTCGTGCGCACCAATTGTCGAGCATCATAAACGAGAGACTTGGTGAGGTGTTTCTTTCGCATCAACTTCATGCATGAATTGGTTGTGAATGCGATACGTGTGCCAGCCTGCGGCCAATTAAGAAAAAGAAGAGTGATCCAACCTTGGAGACTACGTCTACCTTATAAGCCCCAGACAAGGTGAGACTTCACCGATTTTCGGTACTACTTACAAAGAACGAATTTCGGTACGTTGAATATCAGGTCAGCCCTGCTGCAGCCTTCGCGCTGAACATTCGGCTTAAGAGCATCGCAGACGAGATTGTGTATTCAGATAGGATTTGCTATCTTTGTCTCTGCTCCAAGGATAACGAACATCTCCACGACGAGTCGGTTTTTCACTCATGGAATCGCGCAGCGGTCCAATTAACCCTAGAGGAAACAAATATCCCAGATCCGAAGATGAGGCACTTTCTGGTCTTTCAAGAAGGAACGCCACGAATGAACTCCGCTCTCCCCTTGAACCGTATCTAGTTCCTATCTCCTATTAGTTCATACGCACAGTTTGTACACTAGCTTGCCGGTCGAGATAGCTCAGAGGTTTAGGAGTGAACTTACTAACCCGAAAGTCCGTGGGCAACCTGTCTTTCCTCGGAGGGCATGGTACTGTCGAATAATTGCTATTATTTCGACAAATACGTTCATCTACACATGGAAAGCTTTCAGCAACCTTATGTGTAGTGTGCTACGTTTAGGTTACCATGGTTTATTTAGCTTGAGCTAGTTGGAAATAGCACTATTTCCTGATAACCTGAGTTACGGGGCTGATGACCGTGGCACAGGCTCACCATATCATGTCAGTAATTGAGCATCACGGATATGCATGTGCCTTAATTATCTTGAAGGTCCACCCCCAGACGGAACGAAAAATTCCACCCCGCTTTCATAAAAGCCTTCGAAAAATTCTCGGATGCAGGTGGAATCTCACTACCTCTGTGGAAACTTTGTGATTCAGCTCATACTTGTTACCCTCCGAACAGAAAGAGTACTTCGGTCGATGATAAGCTTTGGAGATTTCGTAGATTGCGCACACGAGGAGGGGACACTGTATAGTAAAATGCAAGTAAAGATTGGCTGGTATATGCTGATTCAGCCGACCTTTTCTCCAGCTACGAAGTCGTTTTCTAAAAAAGTTTGACCTCATTTACGGCGAAGTACCTGTCTGCTGCTACGAGACGGATATAACAAACATTTGCTACAATTTATACACGCAGCAATAACTAACTCGAATCGACTTCTCGTTTTACGTAGAAATTATGACTCTAACTACAACCTCACTTATTATCTAATGGTGTCGGTGACTGATAAACGAGTTGATATTTCGGGAAAATCAAGAATCTCCCATACTGATACAAAATTTGCTGAAATTTTTGGAAAGTATTACTTAGAGCTGCCAACTATTCATTTTCAAATGTTAGCTCTGTATTAAAAGCACGTTTCTCATAATCTAGATGATAGGATCAGCCGACTCCTGTGCGAGTTCATCTTGTTGCAATGGTATATTTAAATCACGGTAGATGAACGCTAAATATCTGGAGCACTCATTCCAGACGAAATGGGTAATTCCATCCTACTCTCATGAAATATGATGAAAATGACTTCTGTGCACATGAATTTTCAGCAAACCAGTGCAGAAATCATGCGATACGACCATTTGTCACCCGCTGTCTGATTGAAACATTCTCGAACACTCCGGAGAAGTTTCCCCCAGAGAAGCTAAATTAACAGGTAAATTTTCGCCATTGTCTGACGAAATGCCGGTTCCAGTGTGACCCCATGTGCATCAGCCTCCCGGACTAAGTGGTAACTTTTAGGAGTTTCCATAAGATGCCGATTACCTTACACTTCTCTCTAGGGTGCTAGTCTGTTTCAGGGGGATTCCATGTGTACAGCCGTGTTAACATTTACTGTTCGTCTGAGCTATTGCTTGGCCGCCTTGACTGAGTTAGGTGACCTTGTTCATGCTGTCGTATAAATGTGCTGTATTGCAATGCATTACAGGTTGTGTAAACACCGTTTAAAGACGAATATCCAATAGATAACCAAGTTGTGTAAAAGCCTCCTGGTTTCCCTGTGCCTTGTAGATATCTCGTAGCAATTGCAGTAAATCCACCTCTTGTTTGTTTTCCAGTCTGTCATATAAACTACACAAATCTATCTGAGTCAGTTGCTTTTCCATCGGTGGAGCTTCCATCAGGTCAACAACTGTTCGCCCCTCTGATCTGGCAAAACACTCCTTTAGCACTGATTTTACTCTGTCATGAGACTCATCTATCTGGTTCAGGTTAAACTGAGCCCTACTCAGTAGCGTCTTAGTTTTTATCACCATGGGATCGTTTGGCTGATACTTCGTCATCAAGATATTCAGAGTCCGTTGGCTGAGATCGACTGCTTCCTGGTTCTTCTCTGACTGAACTAAGGCCTTACATAGATCCACTTGCATTTTGATTACTTCATCGTGGTTTTCACCAAGCGACTTTCGTTTGATAGTCAGGGCTCTTTGCAGGTAGTTTTCCGCCTCCTTGTAGTTATTCATTTCCAAACTTCCCTCTGCCAACCGTGCAAGTACACCACTCAAACATGGATGTTCACAGCCTACCTCCATCTCGAAAGTTTCTAACGCATCTTCCATATTAGTCATCGATTCCTTTAGTCTACCCTTCTGACCAAGTATGATCCCCAGAAGGAAATTTATGACTCCATGGTCAAACGGACTCAGACGATGGGTTCTGGATGGATCACGCAGTAGTTTTGTACACATGGCAACAGCCACGTCTAGACGCCCCTCTGCGATGTACTTCACTGCCAACTGATATACACCTTTCATTTCGGTGGATATCAACTCGGAAATGCAGCCACTTTCATCCACTTCATGTTCCATCAGCTGTAACTTTGTCTGGGGCGCTTCTTGCTCTCTGTGGCGCATCTTATAGATAAACTGTTGTACATTCCTTTCAGCCTCGACGTCGCGTAAGTTGTCGTTCAGCTTGTTCAGACGTTCTTTGAGTATGTCTCGCTGTTCGCTCAGCCACATATTCTCGTCAACCAATCGATCATATTGCATATCTAACTGGAGTTTTTCACAAAACATTTGTTCCAATAAAGTACATAAATCAGATATCAGTTCGGTTTCGAACAAACCTGCGTCGATTTTGTCTCGACTTCGATCCACCATGAGCAGTTTCCTCCAACTCCGTATATGGTCCTCCAGAGTGCCTAAGGCAGAAAATTCACTTAGTAGTAGGTTGTATGTGAAATTCTGTCTGTCGCTGAGTACTGACAAATTAATTCGCGCTTCTTTAGCCCAGTCTTTCGAACACAAAAGATAAAGATCCTCCGACCTTATATTGCTGTTTGTGGTAGCCCCAATGTTCCTTTCACTTTCCTCACTTAAGGTTGAACTTGCTGTACTAGAACGTTCTGATTCGGCGTCGCCTCTCGAGGTATTCATTACTTTGTCGAAGGCATGCAATTTTTGAAATCCCTCTATCGATTCAAGCGTCATACAACCAGCTCCATCCACTCACGTGCCCTAAATGATATATTGTGGATCTTGAAAATCTTCCAGCTTCAACCTTATTCAGTATTGAAGTAACATTTTCATCAGTAATTTGTCGATAGGGTCCATCGGCGAGATCCTGATTTGAAGATAGTCGCTCTTGTTCATTACTACTGTGGCTTTACCTTTATCTGCCCTCGAATTGACAATAATCTGAACCTACCTCATTGTATTCGAAGCTGTCCTCTGTGATTGTGCAGTATTTGGAGCCCCCGGTTGTTGGGCAGGGTAAGTGGTACAGTTGTGCTCAAAAAGTACGATTCAACCACGACTCTACAGACTGCCAAAAATCCACAAGGCAGGCGTACCGATTAGACCAATAGTGGATGCACTGGGCTTGCCACCACAAGAACTAGCCAAATTTTTTCTGTTATCGCAGTATCACTTACGAGGTGATCAAGTACCTTCATTAGGGACTTGCTTGACTTCACCAATAAAGTCGCAGTATTCGCTTTGGTGATAGGCAAAGTCCACGTGAGTTTTGACGATGTCTCAATGTACATAAACATCCCCAGGGAAGATGCTTAGGAGGTAACCAAGGAGTTTTTACGAGCAGACGCGACAGTTAAGGAACGGACAGAGCATTCGGTGGATGAAGCAGTTGAGGACATAAGGGTGCGTTTAAATCTTGAGTAGTTCGCTTTTGACACAGCCGTTTACTCACAAGAACAAGGTTTTGCGATGGGAGCTTTAATATCCCCAGTTCTAGCTAAGAGTTTATGGGGGGTTTTGAACAAACGGCCTTGGGCTAATATTGTCGTTCGCCGAGAATTTTCTGGCGTTGTGTTAACGGTACCTTTGTTGTAGTCACACGTAATGAGGTCTAAAACTTTCATGATTATCTCAATAGTTTGAACCCCCCTACCTAGTTTAGTACGGAGAAAGAATCCACCTCGGGCACACTGCCCTCGCTGGACTGTATGACATAAGAATGGTTGAAAATTGAAAAATACTATCTACCAGAAACCAACACACACATGAACCATCTTAGATTACTCATCAGGACACCCAAATCCCGTGTATGTCAGCATTGTCTCATCATTTTTTATTCGGACCAGAGCGCTGTGCACGAAAGAGGTTGACCAAACAGCAGCTCAAATCAAGATTACCAACAGAATTCAGGAAATAGGCAACAAGTTAGAATGATATTGGCTCCAATTTCAAGACCCAAAGAGGAATGGAAGGGCACAGCAGTCATTCCATATAAAACAGACGTCGGAGGTTATTCGAAGACTGCTGAGCATTGTAAATATTCGAGTAGCGTTCCAGAAAGAAAAAAACTTTATGCACAGTTTCACTGCAGCTGAATGATCCCTCCGGTCGAAATGACTAGTGGCTGTGCGCACAAAATTAAATGCAACGATTACACTAGGACTTACATAGGACAAACAGCCAGAGAACTGCATGCCGGAATTGGCGAGCAGAAGAGAAGGACAAACAAACCTCGAGGAATGCGGAAGAATACCAAATGTCAGTCAAAGATTTAGCGATGGCGGTACATGCGTTGGACTCTGGACATCGAATAAATCTGGAGAATGTGGAAGTTTAAAGACGGCTACTGCGATTCATAACATGGCGGCTGATAGCCAAGGGAGTCGATGTCACCAAGAATCCCAGTGTGAGTAGGATAGAGCGGTCTCACACAAGTCGAGTTGACATATGACGGTATGGGGTCGTCGATATACGTTGAATCACTAGGAGAAAGAGGGTTAGAAATCCCAACCGGAAAAAAGTGTATAGATACCTCCCTCTCTTACACAACTATCGTTGCACTAGTTCGTCCGCGTAGACAGATGAAAAGTGTAAACGGCGTCCAAGAGGGGGAACCCATGTGAAGCGAACCGGGAACACCAAACCCTAAGCTGAACCCAAATCCATGTATGTTCCCCATCGGTCTTGCTGGCCCACTCTAACACACAAAATCCTCTAGCAGACACGTAACACCGATCTAGCCTAATTTAGCCGGATGCTTCTTCCACGTTAAATCTGGACCAACCTTGTGATCTGGTCACTTGGCCTGACGAGAGTTTTGTGTCGAAAGCAATGAATCTATCGACTGTTTCCCAAACTTTTCCAAGGACGATAACTTCTTAATCGGCTCCAAGGGTATTTCCAATTTCCGGGGGTTCATGCGTCCTTTTGCAGAGGAATTTTCGAAGATTAGGTAGCTTGCGAGAATTAAAATGAAGAATGAGTCTGATATCTTTTCCACAATGTCGGAGGTTTTTCCTCACATGTAAGCTGAAGAACCACCCAGAGCTCTCGGGCAAACACTTGCGGTTGTCTAAGTGCGAGTTAATCAAGCTCATGGGCGAACGGCATACCCTCCACATACTAACCGGATGACCGCGGATTCGAATCGTGAAGTGGGCACTACCGACGGTTCCCAACAAGGAAGTGTACAGTGCATCTCAGCTTTTCAGCAACGATCGACTCTAGTTGCAGAGTAAAATCTCCGCTTAAACTCCTCGCCTATCTGGGGAACTTTTGTGATTTTCCGAAGTTGGATTTGTCCGAGTAAAGCACTGGGATAATTCTTCCTAATCTGGTGTATTTCCACCGTTATGACATCCACATATTCAAAGCATTTAATATTTCTGGAAGATTGCTCATCCGCAACTAGAACTTACCATCTTCAGTTCGTTGTACCATAAAGCATAACAATGAACCAGTTCGTATTCTTTTTATCTTCAGTGTCCGCGTCACATAGTTTGCAAACGATGATTGTGCAACCACAGTGATACCAGACTTAGTTGAATATAGTTGGGTGGATGGAGAGTAGAATGGGAAGGGATGAGATGATGTGGAGAGCTGGTGACACGTACATCATGTGACATGGAGTGCTATAAGAAACAAGTACCCGTTGAAACTGAGCCAACAGACCTTCCAGTGATTGATTGCGCATACTGACGTATGCAGCCGTGTGTCCATCGAAATGCATTTGGATAGCCTATGCACCACTTTCGGTACTCGCACCGCTTTGGTCACTGGTTTGATGGTATCCAGTTTGACTCGCTCTTACCGGTGGAGAACAAAGGAGCATTGATCCAGTGTGATATAAAATGTGTATTTGTGCATACAGTGTGCTTTTTTTATAAGGAAGAATAATGTAACTCGGTCTACGGTTATTGCGCATGAAACACTTTTCTTTACTTTGAAACTCCAAACCTTCAAAAATTCCATGTTCACTGGTCGCTTTATTGAGGCACACTAAATCTTGAGAGGTTATATCCTCGAGACACTATATTGTTCTCTTATAGAATAACTGATTAACGTTTGAGCGGAGGGAGTCCCGAAACTAAAAGGCCCTGGAAATTTAGTGCCTTCATTATATAGTGTCCCCTGTAAGATGACCCAGGTAAATTGAAGTGGAACAGACCCAGCTCTCGAGGTCACTAATAAACTGACTAGATAGGGCCTGTGTCTAATACGGATTGTAGACTTTCTGCATGTTTATGGTATTTGTAAAAAGAGTTTCCAAAGCCCATTAGGAAATCCATTTGTCTTGAATGGAAATGGGAATACTGTGCTTCACCACCGAACAAGCCAACTGGCTCCGGCGAAAAATCATCAAGTTTGCTTCACCTCTACATAGAGCTCGCTCCAGCGAAAAATCATCATCAAGTTTGCTTCACCTCTACATAGATTCCCTTCATCCGCCCTTCTAGGACTGCTTTACCCACCAGAAACGGAAACTGCTTAGAAATGTAGCATAACGATGCCGTAAATGAAATGTTGTCGTTTGAAATTGATACCTGAGCAACGCTCACCACCACGGACGGCAGTAAACTTGTAGTATAAACTTGGGCTTGACTACTGTGAGACCGTCAATGAAGGGATCTTTATAAAGTGGTCAATCCTATAAAAGTAAACCAACACGAATTTCGCTCTTATTAGAGCATGTCAGATGTCCAGGGTTCAAATCCCGGCACGGCCATTGGATATGCACGGCTGATGAGCTCTAATAAGAGTGAAACTTGAGTCCAGTGCTTCCCTTTGGTGTGGCCTCACCGGAATAATCACGCCAGAACAGGAACACGACCGTTCAAACGAGAGTGGTGTGGCTATGAACAAAAATATCTATTCCGCAAAACCCCAAAATTGCCACACGAATTTCTTTCCACTACGGCTCACCAGGTCTTGTGAGCACATCCTGTGTGACGACAGGGAGGACTTGGGAACAATTATGTAGTTAGTTCCTGGCAGTCAGATACAAAAAAGGTCGAAGTAGAGGCCAAACGAGGGATTCTCAGACAAGGTAGAATTCCCAGCTGGATAGAAATTGCAGTGTTACAGGGAAGAAATGGATGCGTAGAAAAATAACAGTTGGTGTATCTAGATTAGTAGCAGGCTTTTGGAAACTTCTAGACCGAATTGAGGAGACTATCTTCGACACTTCGCGTTTTTTCCGGTATGATGTGACCTGACCCAATGGTGTGTGTTCGTGCATCGGTCGCGCGAACGATTGCTAGAGTGAAAAGCACACTGAGAGTGAAATCCAGCTGTTTTGCAGATCGGTCAGTGGATGCGCTGTCTCTTAGCTAACAGTCTGAATCCGGTGACCAAAAGGTTGCGTGACCGGCTCATCTATGCCCACCAATAAACACGAAAAGCCTCCTATTAATGGACTTTTTGGAACTTAGAACACCTCCATTGTCCTAAATTCGTTTTTCACGCTTTACTTGCATTTGGTTTCATGTACTTTCAGATGGATGGATATATCCGTTGACATTTAATGTGATAATAAGAAAGTTCTGTGGCAATATACCAACTCAGATATTCCCTCCAGCGTATCACCTGTTGTTTGTGTCCGTAAATAATCGAGTGTTTGTTTAAGCTTTTTCATGGTCTACCACACAAGATGTGAAGGCAAGTGTGTTGGGATCCACAGG